TGTGTGTCTGTGTGTCTGTGTGTCTGTGTGTGTGTGTGTCTGTGTGTGTGTGTCTGTGTGCGTGTCTGCGTGTGCGTGTCTCTGTGTGTGTGTGTGTGTGTCTGTGTGTGTGTGTGTGTCTGTGTCTGCGTGTCTGTGTCTGTGTCTGTGTCTGTGTCTGTGTCTGTGTCTGTGTCTGTGTCTGTGTCTGTGTGTGTGCGTGCGTGCGTGTGTGCGTGCGTGCGTGTATACAGAGAGAGAGAGAGAGAGAGAGAGAAAGAGAGAGAGAGAGAGAGAGAGCGAGAAAATAGACTAGAGATGAGCTGACAGGATAGGTACAGTTAGCTAGATAGCTACCAGTAGCTAGCGAACTAGTAGGTAGGTAGGCAGGCAGGTAGGTGCGCAGATGGGTAGATAAATATTCTCACACACACACACACCCGGTTGCAATACCCGGTTCTTACTATGTAAGGACTTTTGCACTTGCACTCGAGCAAAATCAGGCGAGGTTTGGGACGAGGGACTCAGAAGTATTAGGGTTCTTTGGTTTCTGTCTTGAGGGCTCCGGTCAGACAAGCGAGGCTTCTAGCAGTGACAACAGTCAGACTGTCAAGGTACGGGTTCGAAGTTCGCGGGCGCATGAGGGCATTTGTCCAATCAGCAATGTTTTCAATGGCCTGCGGCCACAGAAGCGACGGGTCAGTGGCAGAAGCAGAATACTAAAGAAGCGCTCGTTTGTCCGACCAAGGTCCACGTCATCGCTTCTGAATTGAGAGCATGCCCATGCCTAATGGCATCTCGACATGAGCAACCGTACAGATACTGACCGGTGCAAAGCCCGGCAGAGCCACAGAAGGTGCCTGTCCATGACAGTCTGAACCAATCGGAAACCACACCTTTACATGCCCACATTGTTCTGCTGATTCTGATATCACGGATGTGCAGACCAGCACTTTGGGTCAGGCAGCCCGTGGTCTCTTCGCCGAGACTGTCAGCAAGCGCGGCTTTGATTCGTTGAGGGTGAGACGAAAGAAGAGGAAGTGTGCGTCCCTGTGGCAATCCACGGCTCTCTTGCCGGCACGACCTCTGGAAGCTGCTTTGCGCGTCACTCAAGAATCGTATCATTTCTCTGCTCCCGACTCTAAACAAACTGTAGGCCAGGTGAACAGCAGAGGGACCAACCGTGGGAGAAACCTCCTCCCATCCGACGCCGATGTCAATCACATGCCTGGCAAGGGTGACGTGGCCAAGCATTGAAAGCATGTACGTGGAGCAGGCACGACCACAAAAGAAGGCACAGTCGGCTAATACTACTCATATCTTCGTGCGTGATGCCAGCAAAGGATGCTTGTCAAAAGCTCAGGGAAAGAATGACAGCCTTGACCGACAAGAGGAACCGTCCACGTTATGTCGCCGGGGCTTCGAAGGCAAGAACACGAGGCCGCACTTCTTGCGCATCACATCGGAAAGTCATGCCTGCATGATGAGGGCGTGGAGCGACGACCGAAAGTTTGGCAGCGGCGCCTGCAACTCGAGACATGCTTCTCATGAATGAGAGACGAAGCTATCTGGCCTGGATGGTCAGTGTCCGACAAGGCATCGGGTCCGTGATGGTGATTGAGCTGGACACCTGTTGTCGATCGCAAGTCAGTGCAGCCCCTCGGAAAGTGCTCGAAGGCCTCCAAACTGCAGTAGTGCTGGAGCTGCATCAAGTCAACCTGGCGAGCAGCCAACGGCCGTCCCCCAACATAATGAACGCTTGTTGCCGCCGGGACAGCACAGGTAAGAAACAAGGATGCAAAGGGATGGTAGTCGAAAAACTAGAGGAGGCAAGTGAGGACCAAATGGTCGTGATCAAGCCATGGAATCACGAGTGTCATGCAGGCCTTGGGCGACAATCAAAGCGAGAGTTGTGGAAGCTGCACATGAAGCGCCAAGAATGTCAGAATCCTATTAGCAAGCGACCTTCCACATTCTACTCTCCGGCAGGAGCAGATTCACGCAAAGGGTGTCCTCAGGGATCAGCTGAACTCTTGAGAGTTTGCACGAACGATGCACGCTACGGTATAGCATCTATGACCCACATTACAGGCCGTATACTACTCTAGTAGATTACTGGCTCGCCCCTGCGCGCTCATTCGACACTGTGATCCTCCGCTCCGTTGCCATCCTCCTCTCGTCGCGTGGCTAGCGCTCCAATCGCATCGACTACCTTAGGGCAAACAGTCCCAGAAGGCACGATGCTACGAGGCTTTGCCGCCGTGCACACCATCTCTTGGCAGGCAATCCCAAGGCATGGCTGCACCAGCCCGAGATGGTGCGGCATGACATGGTGTGATCGTTCCCTCTCAAACCACTAAACTCCTGGCCGATCTATCTTGGGCGACAAGGGAGGGCCCACGAGTTCACCTGTCTCTCGAGGCATGTGGCTGCCTGTGGTCGGCCCCATATCTCGAACAGCAGGAAGGGTAGATCACCTTCACTGGCCGGTCAAGAGGCAAGACGAAAACTAAATCGAGCTTCGAAATGACGAGGTCGAAAGGTCAGAAGCTTCTGATCAGCTTTCTGCTAGACGCGATGAAACCTAAGGCTATTAAGAATGTTTTACTTCAGGGTCTGGTCGCTGCTGCTGCCGTCCGGCTGGCACCATTGATACGCACGGATCGTTACCTCAGGTCCACACGCGTGACATGAAACCAGGTTTCTGAGACTTTCCCGAAGTCTTGAATGTCTTGCGGCTCCAACTTGTCAGGAGCCTGCCAAGCATCCACTCCCTACTACGGCAACTACGACTATCACTGCTACTACCACTACTACTGCTTCTGCGACTAGCACTACTACTGCTGCTGCTGCTGCTGCTACTACTACTACTACTGCTGCTACTACTACTACTACTACTACGACGACGACGACTACTACTACGACTACGACGAAAACTACGACTACTGTTGCTACGACGACGACGACGACGACGACGACGACAAGTACTAGTACTAGTACTAGTACTAGCCACCCCCGGGCTGGGCAGTGGCAGCTTCTAGGCTCCCGAACTGCGACAGATGCAGAAGATGCAGGGGCTCAGGCTCCCTATCTGTGACAGCTGCAGAAGTTGCAGAGGCTCACTTTCCTTAACTGTCACAGTCGGTGAAGTCGCAGAGGATCAGGCCCCAAAACTGCGACAGCAGTTGGAGTTGCAAACTCGACGGGGAAGAAACTGCTCAACCACAGGTGGTCGGATAGTACGAAAACGT